CCGATGGGTGATGCCCGACTCCGCCAGCAACTTCTTGAACTCCCCCTGGAACTCCGTTCCCTGGTCTGTAAGCACCTCCCCACATGCCCCAAACCTACACACGACCTGTGCCTTGAAAGCTGCTGCAATGTGCCTTGAGCTCTTGCTGGGGATGGCTCTCACCTCCAGCCACTTGCTCACATGCTCCACCATGAACACGATGTACTGGTTCCCACTCCTGCTTAGGGGCAGCTCCCCTGCCAGGTCTAAGGACCATCGGAACCCTAGCCCGCAGATTGGCAGTGAGTTCAGCTCTGCCTTGGCCTGCGTCAGGTTGGCTTTGCTCCTCTGACATGCCTCACACCCCTCTACCCACTCCTTCACCTGTCTGCGCATCCCTTCCCACCACCAGCCCGTCTTCAGCAGATGTACGGTCCTCTCATGTCCGAAGTGTCCCAGCTTAGTGTGTACCTCTTTGATTATTGCTTCACGGTCCTGTGGCGCTGGCACCAGCTTCCAACCGTCCTCTGTCTTGACCTGCAGCTGCTGCTGGTACCACCTGTAGTGGTGTCCTCGTGCTCTCACTCTGTCAGACACTGCCTCGTCTTCCTCTGTTTCTCCCCTCACCCACTTCATCGCCTTCTCATCCTGCCATATGTCCGCTGGCCCCTTACTCCCCTTGGCACCGACTTGTTCCACTTCTCTCGCCAGCATGATCAGGGTGTGCGCTGGCTCCTGCTCTGTCCCCTCCGTCCCCTGTGTTCCTTGTCCTGTTTCCAGCAGTGGTGGATTACGGGAGAGACCGTCTACGTGCTGCAGCGTCTTCCCCGGCCTGTGCCTGATCTGGAAATCATATTCCTGCAGCTTCACGGCCCACCTGGCGTTCCTTCCCGTCAGCCCTGGTGTGGTCATCAGCCACGTGAGGGGCTGATGATCAGTGACCAAGGTGAACTCGCGGCCCTGCAGGTACACCCTGAAGTGCCCAACTGCCCACACTGCCGCCAGTCCCTCCCCTATGTATGAGCTATACTGCGCCTCTGCGGGGTTGCAGCTCCTGCTGGCGTAGGCTACCACCTTCTCCACTCCCTCCACCCCCTGGCACAGTATTGCCCCCATCCCCTGGCTGCTCCAATCGGTGTAGAGGACGAAAGGTTGGTCTGCTGTTGGCAGCCGTAGCACTGTCGCCGTCTTTACAGCTGTCATGAGGTCTTGGAGTGCTACCCTCTGCTGCTCTCCCCACTCCCATGCCTTGTCCTCACGCAGTATCCCATTCAGCACCGCCGCCCTCTTACTGAAGTTAGGCACAAAGCGCCTGTAGTAGCTGAGGAAGCCCAAGACCGCGCGCAGCCCTGACTTGTCTCTAGGTTCCCTCAGCCTGTCCAGCACCTGTACCTTTGCTTGCTGGATCCCGATCTGTCCCCCTGTCACCTCATACCCCAGGTACTGCACCGTCCGTTCCCCCCACCTGCATTTGTTGGGATGGCATGTGAGCCCTGCCTCCTCTATTGCACTCAGGGTCCTCTCCACGTCCTCCAGATGCTGCTGCTCGGTCAAGCTGAAGATGACTACATCATCGATGTAGCATGCTGCATGTTCAATTCCCCGCAGCACCGCGTCCATGACTCGTTGAAACACCGCCGAGGCGTTCCGTAGGCCGAAGGGCATGTATAGCCACTCGTACAGCCCGTCCGGTCCGTGGAAGGCTGTCTTCTTCACATCTTCTTCCCTGATTTTTATTTGATTGAATCCCTGGCGTAGGTCCAGCGTCGTGAAGTACACCCCGTCGGCCATCTTGTCAAAGAGCTCCTCCGCCATCGGCATGGGGTACCTGTCCGGCACGGTGATCTTATTAAGATCTCTGTAATCGCCGCACATCCTGCGGCTCAGCACCTCTCCTGTCAAATCCTTCCTGGCTGCCACTACCGTCGGGGTCGCGTACTCTGACTCTGACCTTCTGATCAATCCAGCTTCCAGTAATTCCTTTATTTTCTCCCTGCAGATCGCCTCATCCCCAGGCGGCATCTTTCTTCGGCGGTGGAACACCGGCTCATCGCTGCTCAGCTTCAATGCCATCTCCTTGATCTTGCACTTCCCCAACTCCTGCAGGGTGAAAGCGAAGCCCCTCCTGTGCCTAACCAGCAGTGCCAGCATGGCTGCCTTCCCTCCCTCACTCATGCTCTCACCTATCTTCCACTCATGCTCTGCTTTCGGCAGGCAGGCCCATGCCCCCTGCCTCACCGTTGCTACTGTGTTCTCGCCCTCCTTCAGTCCCCAGCGCAGCACTGTCTCTCTCCACATCCGCTGCACCAACCACCTCATCACGTACCCATCCATTGCGTTCCCCATTGCCCGCCTCCGTTCCTGTTCAGTGACGCCAGGGGCTGCTGTAGCGTTCTCCTTGTACCCCATAGCCAGCTCCCTCTCCAGGGCCGTGGGCTCCTCCCACCTTCCCTTCCCGTGGTCGAGCACTAGTCCTGGGCCTGGCTGCTTCCCATCCATCTGGTACCCTGCTGCCCCCTCATATGACACTAGCGTAGGCAGTGCTTGCCTCTCCTGCCCCACTTGATTGCACGGATAATGTCGGCTGTAGCTCTTCTTATACACTGGTGCTGGCGTTCGCCCAGGCTCCAGTATATCGCTCAGCTTCCGCCCCCCTGCTCTCCGTACCCCCTCTATCTCCTTCTGCAGGTCTTCTGCTGGCACCACATTCTGCCAGTACATCCTGAGCCTGTGTGCGTAAGCTCCCATCCGTGTCGCGTCGCAGCTCACTCCCTTTCCCACCTGTCTGGTCACTCGCTCCCTTACTACTCGTATGGGCTCGCGCACATCTCCTTCCATGTCTAAATGCTCCAGCAGGTAGGCCACCCTGCTTTGTCGAGCCTGCAACCACTCCAGAATTTTGAACAAGTCCTCCATCAGTTGTGTCCGTAGGTCTTGCTCACCCTTGCCCTTCCCTGCCCATGATACCCCTTGGCATTCCCATCCCGCCACCAACAGGTCCACGTGCCCCCAGCTCGCCACCTCAGCCTCTGTGATGGCCCGTACATCGTGCACTCCTCTACTCATTGCTGCCTTGATCACTTCTTCCTTCAACAGCTCCGGGAACTCGCGGTGCAGCTGCCATGCGTGATGCTCCGCCATTTTCCTTGCTTCTGCCGCCTTCTCTACGTAAATCCACTGCTTCACTGCGATCCCGTTCCGCACCACTGCTGCCAACCCCGCCCCTATACCCCCAAATAGTTCCACCAGGCGGATAGGTTGCTGCCAATCAGTCTGCTGGCTAGGCTCGTCCATGAAGCGCATCCTCAGCTCTCTGCCCTGTCCCTTGCTTGTCGTGCTCTCCTGTGCCCCCTGCTTCGCTGTCATTTCCTTCAGATCCGCCCTGTAGGCCCGCTTCGGCTCTGTCTTGACGAACTGCACCGGCAGCTGTCCCAGTGGCTCACCCTTCCTCCACCACCTGGTCCTGAATTCCACCGTCTCCCTCCAGAAGCAGATGGTCATGCCCAGTGCAAAGATCATCTCCGTGCCCACCAAAACGTCGAAATCTTCAGATTCTGAGATCCCGCACCTGATCCTGACCGGCGTTTCGTGCTTCTCTCCTTTGAGCACCGTCAGTTCAATTGGAGTCCTTGTACATGGCATCCACTTTGACTCTCCTCCCTCTGCTGTCATCACCAGCATCCCCTTCACTACATGTCTGTCCGGTGCCCACAGTCCCAGCTTCTCGGCCATCCCCTTCCCTAATATCACGCTCTGCGCGCCAGTGTCTATGATAGCCGTCTTGGCCTTCTCCCCTTCCACCGACAGCGCGCCTCCTTGTATCAGTAGCACGGAAGTCTGGCACGCCAGCCGCTCCTGAGGGTGCCGTGCTGCTGTGCACCTCTCTTCTTTCGCTTCCGGTTTCTGTCCTTTCTCTCGTTCCTTCCTCACCTGCTCCTTCCGTGCATCCCTTCCCCCGCTGCGCAGCCCCATCTCCTCCCTTCCTCTCCATGCCATGTATGCTGGCTGCTCCTCGTGTTCCACCTCATCCTCCGCTCTTCCTGCCCAGCTCATGAATGCAGCTTCTTCATCCTGCTCTACATCCTCCTCCTTTTCTTTCTTAGCGTACATCCCCGCTTCTGCCTCGCGTCGTGGTCCCATTGCCTGCAGCTGAGCCTGTAGCTTGCCAATCTGCCTTTCCAGGTCCTCTGGTGTCCTCCTCGCTGCTCCCTCCCGCTGATAACACTCCCTCGTTGCATGCCCTCCCTTCCCACAGATGTCACACTTTGGCGCCGTTGGGCATTCCCGCCGCCGGTGTCCGGGCTTACCACAGGAGTCGCAATTCTTGCAGTCTCTGCGCAAGTGCCCTGGCTGCCCGCATCGGTGGCACGTCCGTGTGTCAGTCCTGTTATCCCCTCTTCCCCCTCCTCTTTCCTTTTCTTCTGGTATCATGGCTGCGGCCCACGTAGGTCCTCTGCCTCGCTCCACTGGGCGTTGCCGGTAGGCTTCGAGCTTCCTCTGGGCCATCTCCATCTTCTCTGCTAGCTCGAATACTTCATCAAGCGTCACGTCAGCCCCCCTCTCGTACACTTTCAGCCGCAGCCCGCTTCCCAAAGTACCCTCCAGGCCGTCCAGAAACTTACTCACGAGCAGGGCCGTGTCCGCGCAACTCACATCCTCTGCCAGGTTAACCAATCGGTTGTAGTAGGTGAGTAGTGACTCGCCCCGCCCCTTCCTGAAGTCCTGAAACTCTCTTATCTTCTCCGCGGTGTGGCCTGGGAACTGCCGTTTCAGCCGTCTTAGGAATGCCTCCGTGGGGTCTTCCCCATACCTCCCTGCCCTCTCCAACAGCTCATCCATCTTCATCCTGTACAATGTCTCTGCCTCCCCTTCCAGTGTGTTCGGCAGGCTCAGGAAAAAGTCTACTGAGTCCATGCCGCTCCTCTCACATCGGTACCGCACATTGCCCACTTGCATGAGGTAGTTCTTCAGCGTGGGCCCCGTGTGCTGATCTCCTGAGAAGCGTGTAGGCACCTCCACCCTCATGCCCACGGCCGTGCCTCCCCTTCCTTCTCCCCATGCCTCGCTCGGCCCTCCCACCAATCTCCCTGATGCTCCCCTTCCTTTTGCCCGCTGTAGGCCCTCCCTTGCTTCCTTGGCTCGCTCCAGGCTGTGCACCAGCCCACTGCTTTCTTCTCTATCGCCATGTTGCTCCCGCCCTCCCTGTCCGGCACATCTTCCGTCGTGCTGCCAATACCGGCCAGGCGATCGAGACCCACCACCGCGCCTCCCATCCCTGCTCTGCTGCCGATGCGGTGAGCGATATCCGCCTCCCCGGCTTTCCCCATGACGCAGGCGCCAGTCGGGCGAGTGCGCCTTGTCTCCCCACTTCTCTCCACGGTACCGTTGCATGTCCGGCGAGCGATTGCCTCCTCCGCGTCTCTCATCACGCGAGTAACGAGGCTCTGGCGAGCGCGAATCCCCTCTGCTTCTCCCGTCGCGATTTCTCCGCGGATCTAGTGAGTGCGTGCTGCCCCCGCGCCCACTGTCCCGGTGTTGCCTCGAATCTGGCGAGTGGTATCCACTTCCGTGTCTCCTCTCATGCAGCGGCCACGGATCTGGCGAGCGCATGCCGTCGCCGCGTCCCCCTTCACGAGTGCGCCGCGGATCTGGCAAGCGCACGCCGTCGCCGCGTCCCCCATCACGTGTGCGCCGCGGATCTGGCGAGCGCACGCCGTCGCCGCTTCCCCCATCACGAGTGCGTCGCGGATCTGGCGAGCGCACACCATCGCCGCGTCCCCCATCACGAGTGCGCCGCGGATCTGTCGAGCGCATGCCGTCGCCGCGTCCCCCATCACGAGTGCGCCGCGGATCTGGCGAGCGCACGCCGTCGCCGCGTCCCCCATCACGAGTGCGCCGCGGATCTGGCGAGCGCACGCCGTCGCCGCTTCCCCCATCACGAGTGCGTCGCGGATCTGGCGAGCGCACACCATCGCCGCGTCCCCCATCACGAGTGCGCCGCGGATCTGGCGAGCGCATGCCGTCGCCGCGCCCCCCATCACAAGTGCGCCGATGATCTGGCGAGCGCACGCCGTCGCCGCATCCCGCGTCGCATTGCTGACGCAAATCTGGAGAGCGCGAGCTGCTGCTACGCCTCCCGCTGCCACGCTCCTCTCCGTTGCGCGGCGGGTTTCGAGCACCGCTCGTTCCGTCCGCCTCCACCGCGCTTGTCTCTGCCGCCACGCTCGCCTGCGCGAGATCTGCTTCTGTTGCTTCTGCAGGCACGTCGCGCTGCTTGCTCACGTCCTCCTTCCGGCCGTCGGCGCCGTTCTCCGCCGCATCGCCGTGCTCGGACTCCTGCGAGGTGTCCGCCGCGTCGCTTTCTTCTACTCCGCCAGCGTTGAGGTCTCCCTCTCGGCCCGAAAACAGTCCTTCCAAGCCTCGCCCGCGCCTCCGATCTTCGCGACGGCGATAACTTGCATCCGGCGAGCGATACGCTCCCGTCTCCTGGCGATATCCCAGATCGCCACCCCCATGGCGCGTTTCCGTCCGCCACGGATCACTCCTCACCATGGCCGATTCCGATCCGCCGGCTCTTCCTTGTGCAGATCCTTCCTCTCGGCGTTCATGCCCGAGAGGCACCTGATCCGCCCGAAAGGCAGGCCTTCGCGGCGATCGATCTGGCCTCCGCGGAGACCGCTCCAGCGACCGCCCACGCTCGCGGGAGTGTCCGCGCCGTGAGCGATCCTGCTCATGCCGACTATACGTCCGGCCATAACGCACATCGTACCCGTCCATGCTTGCACGCACGCAGAATGCTTTCCGTTTGTTATGAAAGTGACGAGACTCTCACCTCAATGGTCCTCCCTGAGTGGGTGTCACCAAACGCAAGGCTAGAGGTAACCAGAATCCACTATACGAAAGGATAACAAACGGAAAGCATTGTGTGTGTGTGTGAGAGTGAACTTACCTGTCCCTGGCTCGAGCCGTGCATTTCTCAATGTGCGGCTCGGGCCTGGGTGGGTTTGTTCCCATTGGTCGCGAGGATTTCACCCCTTGGTGATCTCCTACCAACTCCGCGTCAATTTCCCAGCCCCCCACCTACTTATCCTTGAGGCTGCATACACCAAATACAACACATCACTACACCCGTCCTACACCTTAATCATACTGGCACCTTATATGCACAACCGTGCATATTCGGTGACACTCCTCGCACGCCCGCTGCTCCGCCTGCCTGCTGCGCCGCAGCGACGGCGTGGGGCGAGGGAAAGGGGCAGTGGAAGGGAGGAGAAGGGCGGGAGGGAAATGGCGCGGTCAGAGGAGAAAGGTTACTGGGAAAAGGAGGAGGTGGGTTAGGAGAAGGGAGAAAGGGAGTGACAGTGCGGAGCGCATGTGACCGGCTCCACAGCGACGAGCGGAGAGGGGGAGAGGGAGGAAGATGGGGGGAGGGAGGAAGATGGGGGGAGGGAGGAAGATGGGGGGAGGGAGGAAGATGGGGGGAGGGAGGGTAAGAGGAGCACGGTGAGGCATGGGTGCGTTGACTCAAACCAGGCATCATGACGACCATGATGCGTGCTGCATGCTGCGTGCTGCGCCCACGCCACAAGACCATGGCGGGGGCAGCACCACTCGCCGCGCTTCAGAGTCGCCGCCCCGGTGGCGGCGCGGAACCGCAGTTCGTCTGCGCACCACCGGCGCGCGCGGGCCCCATCGCTGCACAGGCCGCTTCCGCCGCTCACCTGGACTGCTGGACGAGCGCTCCGACCGTTCACCGCACCCACTGAAGACGCGATCGCGAGCTTTCAACAACCTGCTGAGCCCAACGCAGCGACTGGATAGCGCGGTTCAGAGCGGTGGAGCTGGCTACGACGGAGTCTTGTGCGGTACTAGCGATTCGTGTAGGCGCAACACTGATTGTCCGTGGAAGGACGAATAGCGTGAGTGCGAGTGGTAGCAGCGCCGAGAGGAACCGACAGCGCGGAGAGCGCGCATGGTGAGCGCGGGCGTCCCACTGAGGCCCGAGGTGGCCGCGACGAGGCGCTCGACTGAATGTTGTTTGCATTTTGAAACCGTGCCCGCCGTTTCCGCCTTAGTTTGGATAGGCTTTTGTGAAGGCGCACCTGTGAAGGCTTATTATGAGGGTTGATTTGATTCCACGGGATTATTAGGCTCGACCTTTGCTCCAGCTGGGCCCCAGAAAGCCTCGGCACGGCACGGCACGGTCGGGCAGGCTCTCAACCACTCACCACCGAATGTCACCAATTTGCACCGCGGCTTTGGTGCGTGCCAGCACGTGCCCTGGCACGCACTGGACGCAGTAGAGCTGTGGTGAGCCGTGGTGAAAATCGGAATTAAGCAGTGCTGAGTGGTTCTGAGCCGTCCCGAACCAGCCCGTGCCGTGCCAAGGCGTTCTGCACCACGTACTAAGCACGAGTGAGCGGCAAGGCATTCCCTAGCTATCACTTGCACATACCGATGGGAGAGGTATGGCGTCGGTATGAGAGGAATGGTCACGAATTGTTGAAGAAACTTCCGCGCCGGCTAGTCCGTAGAGAGCATTAAAACTCAGGAGGAAGAAATTGTTGTAGAATACAACTTTTAATTACTTCGCGTCACCTCACATACCGCGTACACTCTGTTACGGTATTAGGTAAGCTCAAAATAACAATCTCTAAGGAAAGTTTACAATCCCTTCTTGTAAGGAATTAAACTTCCCGTACAACACTGTTCCCGCCATTTTCATCAAGACAGTGTCCTGTTACTACCTCCGACATTCGCTTTGACACTGTTCCCGCCACTATTGTTGACGGGAAATGGCCCGGCCCTTGCTTGGGCGAAGCCGACTCCGCAATAGGGTGCGTGGGAGGTGCACTGCCTGGCCGCAGAAGTCGACGCAGAGTCTGGCGAGCAGGTCGACGAATTTGGTCGACTGTTGCAAAGCCACCGATGAAGGAGATCGGCAGCCGAATTTTACGTGGATGGTCGACGAAGATGTTCGTCGACAAGTGGAACACCGATGCGAGTAAGTCGGCGGACGGTGTCGACTAGGGCGATTGACGGGCAAGTACACCAATTGGCGGTCTTCTACTGCCCGTCAGGGCGACGTCGACTTTGGAGCTACATAGTCGACGGTAGTGGTGGCCGAGCAAACCCTGCTCGACGGGGCCTGGTCTAAGAGCCCGTCGAGAGGCGCTCCTCGACGAAGCAACACTGAACTAGCCGAGGAAGGGTACTCAGCTGCGAACCTGGCAAAGGCGCGAGTTTCGCTTCTGCGAGCTTTCGCGAAGTCGACCTGTGGGCTGGTATCCCAAGGTCGACGTGGAGCATCTGGCCCGATCATCAGCACGTGGCCGACTCGGCGTCTATGCAATGGGCGGGACGAGGCACAATACGCTCGACTACCAACAAGCACCCGCGAAGCGGGTGCGAGTGTGCACCATAGTCATCTACAGTTGCAACGCTGGCCAGCCGCTCTGGTACAGCGTTGGCAAGCGCAGAAGCAGCGCTGGAAGATCGTCGACTCGCAGAGTTGCAGAATTGCTCTGCTGGCAGGCCGCCTTTATGCAAAGCTGGCACGGCGCCTTTCTGCGATGCTGGCAGGCCGCCCCGTTGCTGCGCTGGAGGTCGACATGCCTGCTCGCTAGGCTGCTAAGTCCAAGATGTAGTCACTTTGTCATTGCTATTTCTATCATTCTGCAATCTGTATTTCCAACTTTTCTAAAGAACCCTTGCCAATTCTTGGTGCGAATACACAAGTGCTAGAGAACGCTAGTGCAAGCTACGATCGCTCGTACCATCCGTGCCTTCCCTCATAGTCCATCTTGAGAAGATATGAACGAAAATGGAATGACTATGAACGAAGTGAGTACAAATAGGAAACCCTAATTTGGGTTGTACCCCCTATGGGATACCCCACTATAGCCTACAGAAACAAGTAAGCTATATGTTCTGACACACCCCCATAGGCAAACTGGGGGAGAACAAGGGGTCACAAGATTAGTCAAGCAAAGCAAAGCAAAGCTCAGGGTGGATCACAAAGTCACCACGCATTCCGAGCACAAGTTCAAAGGCCAGAAGGCCAGTTCACATGCAAGATCATATATAGAGATATACAAGAGTCAAGTAAGCAAGAGCAAGAGTATATATAGACGAAGGTACAAGCAAGGTCAAGAGGAGAGCAAGTGAGGCAAGACAGGCACAAGACCCAACTGCGTGCAACAACGCTGATGATCACAAGGCGCAAGTGCCTTGGTGAAGACATAAGCAGTGTTGGCCTCAGAGGCCACGTACGCAAGTCGCAACTGTCCACGCTGCTGTAGCTCACGAGCAAGAAAGTAGCGGAGAGCAATGTGCTTCGTTCTGTGCTCCAGTCGCTGCTCTCGACACAAGGCCAGCATGGCCTTGTTGTCTACGTACAGGACTGGAGGAGAACGAGGCTGCTCTCCAAGGTCGGTCAGCAGGTAGGTGAGCCAGCGTAACTCCTGTGCAGCCATGGCCCCAGCGTAGATCTCAGCCTCACAACTGGAGCCGAGAACAGAAGACGAGCGGGTAGCCCGCCACGAAACAGAGCCGGAACCAAGGCTGAAGGTGTAACCCTGTGACGACCGCTGCGTAGCCTAGTCGTCAGCCCAAGAAGCGTCTGCGTGCCCAGTGAGGACCACTGGACTGCGCCCTCCAAGCACTAGCCCCATGCCCGACGTACTGCACAAGTAGCGCAACACCCTCTTCGCTGCAGCCATGTGCTCTGGTCGGTGTCTCCCAGGAGCAACATAGCGTGCGAGAATGCTAAGAGGGTATGCAAGGTCAGGTCGTGTGCAGGTCATCAGGTACATGAGGCAGCCAACAAGCTCTGCAAACGGGCCACTCGACTCTATGGACTCATCCGAAGGCAGAGCTGAGAGCGAGTGGCGAGTAGGCAGAGGAGTGGCCTGAGGCGAGGAGTACGTGAAGCCAAAGCGCTGAAGGACCTGCTGCACCATGTGTGACTGAGTCAGGGTAATGGTGCGGCGTGCTCTGTCCCGGGTGATCTGCAAGCCAAGGTAGCTACGCAGTTCACCCAGGTCAGTGCACGTGTGTCTCTTCTGCAGCTCGGACTTCACGTGGGCGAGTCCAGCAGTGTCAGCTGTGGCAAAGACCAAGTCGTCGACGTACACGAGGATGTAGAACGGCGGCAGCGAGGTGTCGGTGCGCAGAAACAACGACGGGTCGGCAGTAGAAGGAGCAAACCCAAGTGCCGCGAGCGTAGTCCTCAGTGTGTCGTGCCACTCACGTGGCGCCTGGCGGAGACCGTAGACTGGACGCCGGAGACTCCACTGGGTACCAGAAGGGAAAGACCCAGTGAAGCCAGGTGGGCGACGCAGCCAGATCTCCTCGTGCAGGCTGCCCTGCAAGAAAGCTGTGCTGAAGTCGAGAGAGTGGAGCTCGTAGTCACGGTGAGCAGCAACGTGCAGTAGAACCCGAAGAGTGGTCATCTTCGGGGTGGGGGAGAAGGTCTGAAAGTAGTCAACCCCCTGCCGCTGACTGAAGCCACGGGCCACGTAACGCGCCTTGAAGACAGGCGGAGAACCCGGCGGCCGCTTCACCCTGAAAATCCACATGCCACTGACTATGTTCGCCCCAGGAGGGGGAACAGCGTCAACGTAGGTGCCTGTGGACTTCCAGGAAGCCATCTCTGCATCCATAGCTGCCTGCCACTGAGAGGAGTAGGGACCCTCTATCGCCTCCGCGTAAGAGCGCGGAGTCGGGATGTCTGGTGCATCCGGGTCTCCCTCAGGGGCTAGCAGTACAGACGCGAGATGAGGTGAAGCGGCGGCCAGACACTGGAACTCCTCCTCCCTGTCCTCAAGGACGTCCGTGCCAAGGGCACACTCACCCCCGACGGACGGAGGACAGGCAGACTCAGACTCAGCGACAAGACTGGCAGCGTAGTCTAGACGACAGCGCGCAGCAAAGCCGACAAGCTCAGTGACAAGGGCAGACGCAGCAGACGACTCGAAGGAAGGGTCAGTGACAGCAGTAGCAAGGAGACGCGTGACAGTAGCATTGGCAGCACGAAGAGAGTCCGACTCAGGGTCGGCAAGAGCAGGAAGAGAGGAAGCAGGAGGAGAAGGCAAAGGGGCACGCAGAGGAGCAGTGGACGGACGGAGTGACATCCGGTGCGTGCCAGGGACAGGAGGAGGACGCTGACGCGACCCGCGACCACTAGCGCGCTCAGTACGAACAGGCGACGCAGGACGAGACGCAGGCTCACGACGCTCAGTAAGACCTCCAGTCGGACCAGCGTAGGGAGAAGGAGCAGGCAAAGGGGAGGCAGGCTGTAGCGGTGGCTGTGACTGGACAGGCGGCGGACCCTCTAAGGGAGGAGGAGGAGGACCAGGAGAAGGTGTAAGACCAAGAACCTGCTGCAGGAGCGGAACGAAGTACGGTCGGGGCCGCGCGGCGACGCCAGAAACAGCAGGGACAGGACTAGTACCCCCAGCAGGAGTACCCGCTCCAGCAGCACCTCCAGCAGCACCTCCAGTAGCTCCAGAAACTCCAGCAGCACCACCAGGAGCACTGCCAGGCGGACCGCCAGCGGCAGTCCCAGTGCCAACACCCTCAGCAGCACCAGCT